GGCACATAATTTATCACCAAGGCAAAGAAGAAGCTTCGATTAAGAATCATTGTGCTCCCATAAGCATGAATTTAGGGGTGGCAAACGGGCAGGTCGGGTCGGATCGGGTCAGATATGTGTTGGTTGAAAACGGGTAATGCAAAAATAAATTATCCGACCCGACCCAATTTAATACGGATAAAAAACATGTTAATCGGCGGATAATATGGATATTCATATTATCCATTTCTTGAATATGATCACTTTTGGGAGAATTTCTAGTCTCCCAAACTTGAGGAACTCCCAATCAAGGCTTTACAAATGTAAAAGTTAAACACATTAGTTATCCATTGGTTATCCATTTTATAATACGGTTGTTATCCATATTTGGACCCGTTTTTAAAAAGTTCATTATCCAATCTATTTTTTAGTGGATAATATGGGTACATAACTATGTTTTAACCATTTTGCCACCACTAAGCATGATCAAGCAATAATTACATTTTTATACATCATCTTTAGTGCGTAGATATTGGGTTAGAGAAGAGGGTGGGTGGGTCAAACTTCACAATTTGAAACATCAAAGTGCTCGACCCTGTAAAATGAAAAAAATGCATTGAAGTGGGTTTGTGTATTTCAATAATCAACATATCTATTACATTACAGGTTAATCATAAACTAGTTGGAATACTTAATAGTCATTCTTGTAATAGCTCTGTCCATTTGTAACAATACTACAACTTTATTAGAACTTACTTTCTCCTTTTACCGCACGACAGGTCAACGAACTCTGGGCTATCGCATAGAAGGAAAGGTCTAATTAAGTTTGACTATTATCGGAACAAGTAAGAATTTTAAAATTTAAGTTCTATACAGCAATGATCGTTTGGTTTGCGGACACAATTATCCTGTGATTAATAATCTTTGAATTATTTAGTGCTACTGCTTTGTTTGGTCATTGAGTTAAAAATGAGTTACCATGTATAATCTAAAATATGTATATTTGAGCTGGATAAAACTAGATAAATTTTTGCTTCCAATTTAAACATTGATATTTCAGTGGCTTAGATATAAATGAAACATTGGAGTTTTAAATAATTTTCTGGTTGCAAAACCATGGTTCTTGATCTAATAATAGATCTAATGTCTTTTAGAATCAGTTTAATCAAATATTGAAAGGAGAAATCGATTACAATTCATGCCATGATTATAGTCTTGATTCTTCAAAGTAACTCCAAATGAAAAAGTAGGACTTCTGTCACGACCCAAAATCAAACTGTCGTGATGGCGCCTATTGTGGAACTAGGCAAGCCACAACTCAATATCTCAACACAGTAAAATTGTTGAACATAAAGACGGAGGCAGTTTAATATATAAGAAAAGTCTTTTTGAAAACGCAAATAATCCCAAAATACGATACAATCAATCCCAAAACCTGAGTGTCACAGATTACATGAGCGTCTAAACCAGAATACAGTACACTGCAGTGTCTAGAGAATAAAAACTGAAATACGGATAGAGATGAAGGAGGAGAGTAAAGGCCTGCGGACGCCGTGCAGCTACCTCGATAGTTTCCGAACTGTGATGCCTCAATCAGCGTCGGCATGACCAGAAACGCCTGGATCTGCACACTAGTGCAAGGAGTAATGTGAGTAAGTAACAAGTCCAACCTTTGGACTGAAAGGTAGTGACAGACTCAACAAGTATACTTATCAATAGAAATACAGTGCAGAAACGTAGGCATGCTTTCAAATTAAGTAGATATCTCAAAACAGTGAAGTAGATCACATCCGAACAATGTAAAGAATATAACTTCTTCTATCTCTACATGCCAATGCACATGCTATATGTGATGCACCCTGTTGTCAGTCTCATGTGCTCACACTCTCAAATACTCAACCACTCGGTACTGTATATGGCCCATACGGTCCAAGGAAGATCCATCCCGGAGTGTATATATATATATATATATATATATATATATATATATATATATATATATATATCACTGACCATAAGTCACCCAGTACCGAGGAAGGCCAATCTAGCCCTGTGGAGAAGATCTATCTCTAGGTATCAAGTGCTTCGGACAAGATCCATGTCCAAGGAAGATCCATCCCTCAATAGTATCTACCGCGCTCACTGGGGGTGTGTACAGACTCCGGAGGGGCTCCTACAGCCCAAACGCTATCATAACATCAGTATAACTGGTGCGGCGTGCAACCCGATCCCATTACTGTCACTCGTAATCAGGCTTTCGGCCTCACTCAGTCATCAATCTCTCCAGTCTCACTCACGGGCTCAAAATATCATGAAAACTAGCCCGAAACAATAATATGATGAATCAATAAATAACAACTGAGACTGAGATATGATATGAAATGAATGTATGTAACTGAGTACGAAATATCAATAAAATTAGTAAAGTGACAACAACAAACGACCACTATGGGTCCCAACAGTACCGGTATAAGCCTAAACATGATATCTAGCATGAGTGACAGCTCAATTACTTTATCACATGATAAAAATACGGATATTAACAATGATAGAATCATTATACAGTGCCATGGAATCAACCAGGTCACAATATCACGATGCACGCTGGCACGCCCGTCACTTGGCTTGTGCGTCACCTCAATAGCAATCATATAACACATAATTTGGGGTTTCGAACCCTCAACACCAAGTTTGAAAGTGTTACTTACCACAGTCCGGAAAAAATTCTACTCCAAAATACCTTTGCCTCTCAAATCAGTCTCCAAACGTCCCGAATCTAGCCATAAGCATTACAATACAATTAATATAGGCTAAAGGGATCAATTCCACAAGAAAAGTACTCATTTATAGCAAAATATCTCGGCTTAACCCCCCCGAGCCCACGTCTCGAAATCCAAAAAAAGTCACAAGACCCAAAAGCCCATTTACTCACGAGTCTAACCATACCAAATTTACTCAAATCCGATAATAAAATCCCATTCAGAACCTCAAAAATCTAACTCAAGAACTCTTCATCTTTTTCCCCAATTTTCTACCCCAAATAACAAGTAGATGATAGAATTAAAAGCATAATCATGGAATTTAGCCAAAATCAAGTAAGAATCACTTATCCCAATCAACTCCTTGAAAATACCTTCAAGAATCACCCAAATCCGTGGACTCTAGCTTAAAATGTGAAGAATAAAAACCCTCTTCGCGAACGCGTCCAACCAACCGCGAACGCGATGCTTCGCTGGCTCCTAACTTTGCGAACGCGACTGACCCTCCGCGAACGCATAGACCAAATGGCTGGGGTCCCAAGCTGCCTCACTCCTCTTCGCGAGCGCGTTACACATCTCGCGTTCACGATGCCTTCACCAACCACTTCTTCGCGAACGTGGGCTTCTCCTCGCAAACGCGAAGATAAACTTCCGTCAGCCTCCAAGAACACTTTGCGAACGCGAGACCCCCTCGCGAACGCATTAGAGGAAACCAGCGGAGCCAAAAACCAGAAACTTCAGAAATCAACCTAAGTCCAAAATGTTCCGTTAACCATCCGAAATCAACCCGAGGCCCCCGGGACCTCAACTAAACATACCATGAAGTCCCAAAATATCATACGAACTTAATCGAACGCTCAAATCACCTCAAACAACATCAAAAATACGAATTATACACGGATTCAAGCCTAATGAAATGTGAAATTTCCAAATTCTACAAACGACGCCGAAACCTATCAAATCACGTCGATTGACGTCAAATTTTGCACACAAGTCATAAATGACACCACAAACCTACTCCAACTTCCGGAAATCCAATCCGACCTCGATATCGAAAAGTCCACTTCCGGTACAACTTTCCAAAATTCCAACTTTCGTCAATTCAAGCCTAATTCTACTACGGACCTCCGAAACACAATCCGGATGAGCTCCTAAGTTCAAAATCACCTGACGGAGCTAACGGAACCATCAAAATTCAAATCCGAGGTCGTTTACACATAAGTCGATATCCGGTCAACTTTTCCCACTTAAGCTTTCAATTAAGAGACTAAGTATCTCAATTTACTCCGAAATCACTCAGGACCCGAACCAACCAACCCGTTAAGTCATGAAATAGTTGTAAAATACAAAAGGAGCAGTAAATGGGGAAACGAGCTACAACTCTCAAAACGACTGGCCGGGTCGTTACAACTTCACTTCAATCTACTTTATGTTAAAAACCCAGATTTTGTAAAATAACGATTAGTATTAAATTAAAGTGCTTTGAAAAAATGGTAACTCACTAGAAAAATATAAGGCAAATAATTCTTTTTAAAAAGAGGTGAAATTGCCAACTGCCAAAGCTAGATAGTGCAGAAATTTTAGCAAGTTAATTTGAAGCTCCATGGGACTGGAAAAGGACAAACTGAAAGCAATTTAAAATGGGGAAAGCTGTTGGAGAGGGAACAAGGACGGTCCCAAAGACGAGGAAAGAATACAATGATGCTAAACGGAAAGTCCGTTGAAAAGAACTTTAAAGCAAAAAGATTTTTGTTTGTAGTATTGGACCTGATAAATAAATCGCGCCTCAGCATGTGAATCTGCTAAGGAGATTTGGGAAGCTCTTAGAAAAGGTTAAGCAGTCCAAAACAGATATGCTTACTACTGAGTATGAGTTTTCAAAATGAATGAGGATGAATCCATTCAAAATATGCGCACACGTTTCATCTCTATTATCAAACTCAGTTCGAAAGTTAGATAATTTGACCATTATACTTCAAATCGAGTCAACATAAAGTGGGACATATGAAGTAACATCAATAGGTAACCTAAAATAAATGGAAAATAACATGATTATTATAATAAGTTAAAATACACTTAACGATGTAAAAATTATGTTATACTGTTCATGTCTATAACTTGAATCCAATAATCTTTTCGCGACTCGCAAATGGACATACAGTTGGTATGGGTTATTTAAATCCTTTACTTCAATTACTATATATTCTTTTAATAGCTAATTATTTCCCATTACCATTGAGTAGTAACTAGTAAATCCTCTTCTCCACGCGTCAAAACTTTCTTCTCCTTGTAAAGCCACTACTATTTTTGCTACTTTAAGTGAGCTAGAAAATCCTTCGTGTTACCAAAATCTACTGGCTCTTTATGTATAAATAGCCACTTCTTGAGCTTTATATTTCCTCAAAACATTTCTATGGCAAGTAGAAGAGAAGTTTACTTTGTTTTCATGAACTATGATCCAGAATACGAGCGCCTTAAATCCAACAGGTTAGAATCATCCTTTTATCTTATGTAAAATCATTTTCTACTAACTATAATCTTAGTTTTATTAATTTGTCGAAAATGACATATATAATATTATATCATAGAACGAAGAAGGGAACACAAGAGCTTGATCTGTACTTGTGCAAGAAACATGATGAGTTGTTAGAAAACACCCTTGAGCCAGGCAGCTACAACAAGAGAATGTCCTTAGTCATTGTTGATGGCTTTGCTGTAGAAATCACGGATAATCAGGTATCTTTTTATGATCTCACGAGTGTTTGGTATAAAAGAAAATATTTAATTTTCTGGAAGAAATTTTGTCGCATTATCCAACGCTCTCTAAAATTTAAAAACTATTTGAACGTGACTAATGGACAGTCCCGTGCACAAATCATCTCGCATTCAAGCAAGAGTCCCGAGAAGGGTCGCACCTCAAGAAGTGAGATGTAGACAGTCTACCCTGACCTAATGCAAACATTAGTGGCTGCTTCCACGGCTTGAACCCATGACCTACAAGTAGTTAAAATATAGTTTTGTGTTTGGTTGTCAGAAAAACTTGTTTTCTGGAATGTTTTCTTTCATACGAAACACACATTTTCACTTGTTATGTATTTTTCTGGGGTATAAGATGTTGAAGGGGAGCCTTGGTGTAACTGATAAAGTTGCTGCCATGTGACGAGGAGGTCACGTGTTCGAGCCGTGAAAACAACTTCTTGCTGTTTTCTGGTATATAAGATGTTGAAGGGGAGCCTTGGCGTAACTGGTAAAGTTGCTGCCATGTGACCAGGAGGTCACGGGTTCGAGCCGTGAAAATAGCTTCTTGCAGAAATGCAGCGTAAGTTTATGTACAATAGACCATTGTAGTCCAGCCTTTCCTCGGACCCCGCGCATAGCGGGAGCTTAGTGCACCGAGCTACCTTGGTGTATAAGATGTTCTTGTATTTAAATATTTTTCTTAGTTGAGTTACGCACAAGCTAGCCCGAACACTATAGTTCTATTTTAAAAAATTGTTATTCTCAATGTTATTGACATTTCACCAATTTTACAGGCTAATGTGCTTCGATCAGCAAAAGACGTGAGGGTTGTAGAGAAAAATCAAGAGCTTGCATAATGCCGGCCAAGATCCCCAACTGTTTGAGGCTGAGTTTGCTCAATGATTTCTTGCTAAATGAAATTTAGAAAACTATGAGTAAAATAAAATAAAAGATAAAAAAAATAAAAATAAAAAGTGGGGTGGGGGCATGAATATTGTGAAAGTAAATGCTTCGTCTTATGGTACGAAAGCATATATGAAGTCATTATTGTACTTTAGATAATAATTGTTCTCTGAATACATCCCCCATCCCGACCATGTATTTCACTTTTTACTTTGTAGGTCATAGAAAGTGTAATCAATGCCTCGTCTGAGTCCCATTGATCCAATTCTGTCTTTTGAAAGGATAAAATAATATAATTAAATAGATTTCTGATGGCCGGCACTAATAGAGAGCGGTAATTAAACGATCATTAATAGAGAGTGTTTAATTACCACTTAGTCAAACTGAGAGATTTGTTCTTCCTGTGGAGAGTTGGTGGAATCGAAAGCAAGTCTCCAAATTCAAATTCGAGATCTTTAATCAAGGGTGAATGAATTTTTACTGTTCCGACACACATCTTGGTGGTGTTATGTTTATTTCTTGTTCTTGCTCTTCTGTATTCTTATTATCTGTCGTGCTTGTCATTCTCATTAGCTCCCTAGATCTCCTTCATACTAACTTAGAATGCACGATTTGGAGTTAGAACTTAATTTGATTAAATAATTTAATGGCGCAAACTCAAGTTACTATATGTTTACTGAAAATATGATGATCCAGATTGAGATTTAGCCCAACTATGCATGGGACACTTAATCAAACAAACTCTCATCATATTTTTTTTAATTATATGGGTATTATTGGGATATATATTATTAGCCACTGCTAGAAATTCGGCCAAAACTGACTGCGGTCGACCAACCGACTTCGATCAGTAAAAAAAAAAAAACCAACCGAAGTGGGTCAGTTTTTCAAAATATTTTATTTTTTAATTTTTTCTTGACGAAACCGGCCAACTTCGATCGTTTTTTTGTTTGGCGCAAAAAAGCGGGAAATATTCTTTGCATTCTACAAAATTTATTTTTCAAGAAACCGATCAACTTTGGTCGAGTTTTTATTTAAAATAAAATTAAAACTAATATTCAAAAAACTGACCGAAATCAGTCGTTTATTTAGGTCAGTCTTTTTAAAACTGATTTCCGTCGGTAATTTTATTTTTTTAACAAAACTGACCGAAATTTGTTTATTATTTCCGCGCAAAAATACAATTAAAGAGTATAAATAAAATAAAAAAAAATCTTAAACCAAAATGCACCAATGGTGTTGCAGTAGTATAGTATCGTGCCATAGTACAAACCCCTGTTCGATTTCCAAATAGTGTATTTTTTTAATTACACGATTAAAAATACTGATCGACTTAGGTCGGTAATTTTTTTTTGATAGTTTGTGATATTAATTGACCGACTGATGCTTTACCGATCACACAATTACTGACCGCTATGAATTGGCCGATTTTCGATCGTTTTTTGCCAATTACCGACCAACATCGGTCGGTTTTGACAGTCGATTTTTCCCTTTTTTAGAACTGAGCCATCTATTAATTATTATAGAATAACTATTTATTCAATAAATTTTAATAAAAATTCATATAGATCATGTATTCATCTATGTCCTTTGAATATATAATAGTTGATTTACTATATAGAGTTTAGCTTAATTATACGAAGATTAAATCATTTGTTCTTATAAGTTATAAAGATTATATTCATAGTCTAATGATGGAAATGGACAAGCCAACATAATGACTGTAACATAAGATTAAATATAATTTATCTTGATTATAGAAATGGTATAATTCTGACTTCTTCTGCTAGTATATTTCTTATGTATTAAACGGACCAAGTAGAGATAAGTATTTTATACTAACCTAATAAAATAAAATATTCTCGTCCATTAAATGTACATATACTCTTAATCTTGGTATAATTATTATTAGTTGTATGTATTATTTATTATTTTGATATATCAAAAGGTGAAATTCTTTTGTCGGTCAATATGCATGATAAACCGGATGATAACAATATACATTGGCGAAATAATAGTTAGTTGATGGAATCCATGTCTCGGTCTAGAAATTGTTGGTACACATTTATGAAAGTTTTATAATTAACTTTTGTGTGTTATCCCTACGGGTGGAGTTTTTATCCGTCACATGAAATAAGTTAAACGAAACTCTATAGAAAATAATCAATGAATTAAATTCTCAATTTAATTTATTGATTAGTATATTAATCTTAACATGAGAATTTAAATAAGGTTTAGTGAAAGAATTTTAAAATTATTAAATTGAGGAGTGTAATTACGAACTTGTAGTGAAATAATTCATAATTTATTATGGTAAAATCAATTAACTCAGATATTTTTATTAATTTCATAATAGAAAGCCTCGCTAATTAAATATTATGGTCCCTGTTGTGCTTGAATAATTAAGAATTAAATGAAATACGATTTCTTGATGAAAAAGAAAGACCTAGCAGGTTTAGAAGAGTATCTTAGACCCTAAAACCTGTGTTTGTATAAAGGGTCTTATTCCATCAAGGCTGCTAGACGTTTTCAAATGTTTTTATTGGAGAAATTCGGCCACACGAATTTCACAAATTTTGAATATTGTTTGGATAACACGGTAGAAGACCATGGAATTGGAGAATGATCACGTAAAAGAATTTTGCTCATGCTTGGAGGCTAGTTTCACGGTCTCACGCTTCAAGAGATAAGCATAAATTTTGTATTTAATTAAAATATGTGATTATATGTTATCTATATTACATGCAAGTGTTCCTGGCTATTTGCTTCTCCTGTTTATAGATGTATTCCGTCAGGTATAAGACCCAAGTCAGCCCAACAATATTTAACACGGTTTAATTGATATTGTCCACTTTGAGTCAAGTCCGCACGATTTTACTCAAAAAATCTCACACTACTAAGAGTATTTCTGCACCTTATCTATACTCAATCTTTTAATAATATGAGATTTTATTCACACGGACTGATTGTGACCAAAAATATGAGATTTTATTTAGACATCCAACAACGGGAAAAGTTACAAAGCCAAGAGAGAGTGAGAGCGCGTTAGCAAGCACAAGCTTGTGGGTGGTCCATATGCGTAGATAATTTGAGTCCGTCGTCCACAGAACATGCACAAACAATTACTGCCTCCGTTTCAATTTATTGTGAACATGTTTGATTGGGCACAAAGTTTAAGAAAAAATTAATACTTTTAGAATTTGTGGTCCTAAACAAATCAACAAGGGGTACAGAGTATTTGTGTGGTTATAAATGTTTCTCATTAAGGGTAAAGTTGAAAGTTTAATCTAAATTGTTTTCAAATTTAAAAATGGGTCATTCTTTTTAGAACAAACCAAAAAGGAAATAGGTTTAGAAAGGCAGAATCCTCAGTACGTAGTGAAAGCTGTGGAAATTCATGAGACTGATGTGAAACTTTTCATAGACTGCATTTCATCAGCCTTTGCAGTTTATCTAGTTAAGGTTATAGAGAAGGACAGAATTATTATTTTTCACTCGCAATGCTTCTAGTTTTCAACAAAGTTTGAGAGTCAGTTGCCTGACATAAATTGTGGGGGTCGTTGTACAATTTGTACTACTACACTTCACATGCAACACCTTTTCTGTTAGAGTTATTTATTTATTTTTTATCTTTCTTTTTTTGGGTGTGCTTTTGGACGATGATGATCAATTCATTATTGTTGCCCCCTACTACTTCTTTCCCATGACTTGATATAGTCGAAAAAAATGGCTGATAATTAAATCTTGTCAATCCTTTCATTTCAACGTGCATGGCCAAAAACCCTGATGTCTCTTTCTCTTCCACAATGTATGTTAGAAAAATATATGTTTAATACTCATGTTCACTAAGTTATATTCCTGCATTTCGATATATATGGTTGTATAGGGTTAAAACCGGGCCAATGTGATTTTACAGATTAATCGAGATCAGGGGGATGGCGAGATATCCGTGACTGGTCGAAGATCATGACGGAAATCTCAGAACATATCAAATCAAGGGCGGTTGTTTAGCTAATCATGGGATTTACTTCTGTAATTAGAATTGTACCATAGATAGGATTCCTCTACTATATAAAGAGGGTTCTAATCATTTTGTAACCATCTTACATTCACGCGTATCAAAGCAATATATCACATTTTTATCTCTTGCTTCTGTTGTTCAGTTCATACTTTCCCTAGCTTGTTCAGTTGGTTCGAGGGTAATTAGCTCGAGGGCCATAATTGATCATCACATTGGTTTGCTTTATTTTACTGTAATTTCTATCATTAATTCTTATATTTATCGTTTTGTGCTAAGTGAAATCACATATCCTTAAAACCACTTATAAGTTTAATTGTTATTCGATTTTAAGGGTAAACAGTTTGGCGCCCACCGTGAGGCTGAGGATAATAGTGATTGCCTGGTACAATTTTCGTAACACACACTATTTTACACTTATTCTTTGAAGTGTCTTTGATTCCACGATCAATATGTCAAACTCTCAAGTAGCACCTACACACACAGACAATGGTCTCGGTCTCCAAGGCGAGAATGATAACACAGCCGCCCCAGGGAACGGAGTACCTCCAGTCAACCCCGTATTTCGGGCATGGACCCAATCGACGTCAGCTCCCATATTGCCATTAATAGGAATTTGGGCGTCGACCCTGAAAATAGCGTCCGCAGAGGTGCTCGAACGGCATATCAGAACATCCAGGACGGTAAAGAAGGTGGTATTAGCCTTCTAATGATATTTGAAATGTTGCAGACCCAACAAGCTGCAATAGTACAACTCCAAAATCAGAATCGTGCACCAAGCAGGATTGAGATCGAGCCATCGCAAGAAATTGTTCATAGAGCCGAATCGATGCCAAAGAGGTCAAATGGAGGAGAACCGGAGACCAATCCTGCTATCGTAAAAATGCTCGAGGAACTGATGAAGAGGATCGAGACAGGAGAAAAGAAGATCGAGGAAAATGATAAGAAAGTGGAAACTTATAATTCTAGGGTCGACTGAATCCCGGGGGCACCGCCGGTATTGAAAGGACTCAATTCCAAAAAGTTTGTCGAAAAACCTTTCCCCCCAAGTGCGGCTCCGAAGTCAATCCCCAAGAAGTTCCGTATGCTCGAGATTCCAAAATATAACGGGACAACAGATCAAAATGAGCACGTCACCTCGTACACGTATGCCATAAAGGGAAATGACTTGGAAGATGATGAGATTGAGTCCGTGTTGCTGAAGAAATTCGGGGAGACTCTATTGAAGGGTGCTATGATATGGTACCATAATTTACCACCTAATTCTATTGATTCGTTTGCTATGCTTGCAGATTCTTTTTTAAAGGTACACGCCGGAGCCATTAAGGTAGCTACAAGAAAGTTGGACCTTTTCAAGGTAAGACAAAAAGACAACGAGATGCTCAGGGAATTCGTGTCTCGATTCCAAATGGAACGGATAGATTTGCCACCAATCCCCGA